GGAGAGGTGCCAGCTTCTAGAGGCGGAGTTGAGGGGTGGGTGTGTGGGAGGGGAGGTCGAGCCGGGCTTGGATTCCCTGGGTAGATGCGAGTCAATACTACCTTTACATACCACAGTATTTGTGGCTGATACTATGGCTGTCTGTTTCTCTCTGGGTCATGTTAAGGTAGCTTGAGTATGAGACACCGAGGTCAATGAATGACACCCAATCATTGTACTCAAACCAGCCAATCACGGACGTTAGCTATTGTCAACCAGGCCAATTGGGGTTAGGTCGTCTCGAGGTCGTCAGGCCGGCATAACAGACGTTGGGTGGCTGTGCCCCTCCCTCCCAGCACAGATTGCGCGGCTTCAGCGGAGGTGCAGGACGTCATCGGTCCAGGCATCAGGCGACCTGGCATCTCGGCTTCATTCATTCATCATCTGTCGAAGACGGGTTGACTCATTTGATACGCTTGGTTATTGCACACTGTTGCGAGCTCGGTTCCAGTGTAATTGAAGCTGTCGTTTTACTCATCGAGTGAAGCCCGAGTCGGGATTGGACTAGTCGTTGCCGCCGCCATGACGCGGACCGTGGTGTACAGCACGGCGATGGTTGCTTTGGTTGCGGGTGAGTCGAGTTTATTTTTCTTACGTTTCCAGGCGACGGTTGATCGAGGAGATGCCTCGGTGTTTGTGTCTCGAAATACGCTATCACTGGGCAGTGCCTCGATGGCGTATCAGTCTGATGAGAGGAATCGGATGAGGATATCATCACGCAGGCCCCCTACCTCCATCTCACCGTCCCCCGTTAACAGCTTGAATGCCCAATATGCTAACCATTCACAGCAACCGCCATGACCATGACATCCATCATCTCCCCCGCCTGGGTCTCCCTGACGGTCCCGTCCCCCTCGGGCGGCACCGTGACCGACACCATCGGGCTGCACCGCCGGTGCGGCGGCTCGTCGTCCGCTGGCGGCACGGGGTCGTGCGTGCCCTTTCCCGAGGCATCGCGCTGCGACGACGACGGCGGCCGGTCCTTCTGCTCCATGTGGCGCACCACGGGCTTCCTGATGAGCTTTGCCGTCGTCGCCGAGCTGGCCACCCTCGTCGGGTTTCTGGTCATCCTGGCGGGTGGGAGGGTCAAGAGGGAAGGGGGGTGGAGGGTTTTGGGGGGGATGCTGGCGGCTGTGGCGATGGCTCAGTTTGTGGGGATGGCTGTTGTGGTGAGTCTTCTTATTTTTCTTTACTGCTCGAGGAGAGGGGTGGTGTTGACGACGATGGGCAGGCATATTTGTTTGATCATGACGACTTGTTTCTGGTGCCTGGATACCGGCTGGACACGTCGTGGTACCTGTGCACGTTCAGCGCCGGGGCTGCGCTGTTGGCGGGGGTTGGGCTGGCCATCTCGGCGCTGGTGCTACCGCCGGAGGATGGGTACCATCAGTTGTTGGGCGGCTCGAACGGGGTGTAATGCGGGCTACCTTACGTGTATGGTGGATTGGATTTCTGGTCTGATATGGGCGGCGCGGTATGGGTTCTTTGCTTTATGTGTTGGCGTTGGCGGCGAGTACATGTAAGCCTCGATCGGTTAAGTAATACTAGTAACTACAAACAGAACGGCTCAAGGGAGCATTTCGCAAGGTCAGGGCACACCTAGACTGGACGAGATGGGGAAACCAGCCGATGGCCGCCCAGACGGAGTCAGCACACAAGGTTCTCCCGCTCCACCCCCCCCCTTCTTCGGGAAACTTCAAGCTGATACGAGTGATGGTAACTAGGTGGTTTTCCCAGCGACAAGTCGCGACTCGATCCAAGCATCACGAGTCAAATGGTTTATCTCGGGCCTGTGGGTCCCTGTGTGCCCGATCGTCTGATATATGTCATAAGACCATGGCGCAGGACGGATCCGATACTAGTATACAGATTACCAAATACTAGGATCTCGTCTGCCGAGTCGCGTTGAGGGGAGAGTTCCCCGACGGCTGGAATTCAGCTTAGCTAATACTAGTATCCGCCGACGGTGGCCGCGCTTGTGGGGAAATGCTACCCCTTGCAGGGGTTGATTGCCCGGTCAAATTTTGTCAACAATTCCAATTGGCAGCAACAATTGGTCCCTGCAGCTGCAGACGGGCGCTGGCTTGGATCGTTGGATCGCCGACTTTCTCTCGCTCTCGTTTTCACCCACACTCCTTTTTGCTTCACCGCCCGCAAAACTGCCAGGCGTGTGGTCGTCAAGGCTTCCCCGGCCCAGGAAGCGCCTGTCGTTCTTTACTCGAACACTAGTATCCCACCCCAAGGGTCTCCCTGAGCTTCCAGGTTTCCGGTTCGCGCCCGGACTGCCCCTGATATATCCAAAATATAAAGATTGCGCCACGTCGCGTCTTTCAACATGTCTGCCAGATATTCCCTGAGGCAGACGCCGAGGTAGGTTATCATCTCTCTCAGCGCGGCCTGCTGCCACCTCTTTCAGGCACTGATTCCCCCAGGAAAAAGGAGCTCTTCGACGGCATGATCGAGACGCCCGCCCGCCGCAACATCCGTCGCAAGCCCACCTTCCCGACCGAGTCCGACGCCGAGTCCACCGCCGAGTCCACCGCCGCCTCCGAAGCCATGGAGAGCAAGCCGCTGCGCCGGCGCCCCGCGCCCAAGTTCACCGAGCACATGGACGAGCTGACGCCCCCTGAGACCCCCGTCGACAGCGACGCGCCCGAGACCGAGGCCAACGGCAAGGCGAACGGCAAGACCAACGGCAAGGCCGCCCCGGCCGAGGAGAAGCTCGTCGACGGCTGGCGGCCCGGCATGGACCCCAAGATCGACCACTCGGGCGAGTACGAGTTCGGCGGCCCGTGGTTCGTCGCCGTCATGATGGTCGGCTTCCCCATCCTCATGTGGTACATGTGGATCGGCGCCACCTACTACGACGGCGGCTTCCCCGTGCCCGCCGCCGGCCAGGGCCTGGGCGACTTCGCCAAGCACCTCGCCAACCTCGTCTACACGGGCGCCTTCCCGCACACCAAGGCCTGGCTGATGTACTGGATCTTCTTCATCGTCGAGGGCGCCTTTTACTGCCTGATGCCGGGCATCTGGGCCTACGGTAAGCCGCTGCGCCACGAGGGCGGCAAGCAGCTCAAGTACTACTGCTCCGCCTACACGTCCTGGTACGCGACGCTCGCCATCGTCGCGACCCTGCACTTCTCGGGCGTCTTCCCGCTCTACACCATCATCGACGAGTTCGGCCCGCTGCTGACCGTCTCGATCCTGTCGGGCTGGCTGGTCGCCATCGTCGCCTACGCCTCGGCCCTCGCCCGCGGCGCCCAGCACCGCATGTCGGGCAACCACGTCTACGACTTCTTCATGGGCGCCGAGCTGAACCCGCGCATGTTTGGCATCCTCGACTTCAAGATGTTCTTCGAGGTGCGCATGCCGTGGTACATCCTGTTCCTGCTCTCGTGCGGCGCCGCCGCCCGCCAGTGGGACCGCTACGGCTACGTCTCGGGCGAGGTCGGCTTCCTCATGCTCGCCCACTTCCTCTACGGCAACGCGACCGCCAAGGGCGAGGAGCTCATCGTCACCACCTGGGACATGTACTACGAGAAGTGGGGCTTCATGCTCATCTTCTGGAACCTGTCGGGCGTCCCCCTGTCGTACTGCCACTGCACCATCTACCTGGCCAACCACGACCCGGCCACCTACCGCTGGAACCCCTACGCCCTGGCCGCCCTCTACATCAGCTACATCTTTGTCTACTGGATCTGGGACAGCGCCAACAGCCAGAAGAACCGCTTCCGCTCCATGGAGCGCGGCACCCTCGTCTCGCGCAACACCTTCCCCCAGGTGCCCTGGCAGACGCTGCACAACCCCAAGACCATCGAGACCGGGCTGGGCGACAAGATCCTCGCCGACGGCTGGTACGGCATGGCCCGCAAGGTGCACTACACGTGCGACGTGTACTTTGCCACCACCTGGGGCTTGATCACGGGGTTCAACAGCCCGTTCCCGTGGTTCTACCCCGTGTTTTTTGTCACCATGATTGCCCACCGCGCGTGGCGCGATATCAGCCGGTGCCGGGAGAAGTATGGCGAGGCGTGGATGGAGTATGAGCGGCAGGTGCCGTATCTGTTTATTCCGGTGGGTTCTCCGTTCTCTGCAAATTTTCTGTGATACGTTGGCTAACGAATGGGTAGTACGTCATCTAAACGGTCATCTCTTCAAACACCATGTCTGTATGGCAGAGCATGGCCGTCAGAGTATGCGAGGAAGAGTGTCGAGGGGTATAGCATTTAAGACGGAGTGCGCGGTTTTGGATCTGTGAGGGATGGGCGGATGCATGTATGACTGAATGGATGGATGGATGGATGGGGGAGGAGTCTAAAAGGGACGGGTATAGCCTAGACCTGGGGTGGTTGAGCCCGGCGACGGGGTGGTCAGGCAGGCACCGTGCGGTTGCGGGCCTCGGTCTCCTACCTTCTACCTATCTAGTACCCCTTTACTGAACCTAAAATTAATGGTAATGCTTCAAACCTGTTCCTGCGGGACGTCTGTGGGGGGTCTTAGTGTGTGGGGATATTTGGTCAAGAGGGTGGTGTGAATCATGACGCTTGGAAATAGCCCATGGGCGTGTCCTTCCATGAAACAGGAGAGGTTGGAAACATATTGTCTCGGAAACAACCTTTGATCAAGCATGAGTTCTTCAAACGTGAGGATGGATGGCTGAAGACAACCCAGTCGTCCGAACATGGAAACATGACAAGTTAACCCTTGCCCGGTCAACCACCTGAACACATCCCATGAACATAATATCCCTTCCCTAACCCTGAGAGGCCGGAAGACAGACAAACAGGAAACCCGACAAGCGCTATAACTAACAACAGTCACAAAGTCAAGTGATCCCCCTTTCCCAGGAGAAACACCCCCAAACAACCCCCCAAACAGCCAGCCATAAAACCAAAAAAAAAAAAAAAAAAAAAAAAAAAAAAAAGATACACCAAATCCAATCCAATCGCCGACGGGAATTGAGCCCGACGTGGGGGTCGAACCCACAACCTTGAGATGAACCCTCTCACATGACCCGGTGGGGGAAACGTGAGTTAAGAGTCTCACGCTCTACCGATTGAGCTAGCCGGGCGAGGCTTGCTTCACACGTTGTTGAGGCCAGGGTGCGGTGGAAGAGATTTTAAAGTGGGTGGAGATTGTCCAGGTTGGTGGTTTTGACGGGATGGGGACTCGGACGAGATGGGTCCATCATGAGGTGGATGGGGGGATAGGGATGTTGATGTGGGTGGGTGGGGACGGCAGAGTTTCGATTTGGGTCGGTGGAGTTACCTTAGTAAGGTATACATAGTACGAGGCAGCCTGGCTGGCATGAGGATGGAGAACTTGAAGGAGTTGTGAAGCAGTGAGTGGGATGCGGCGAGGTGAGAGGATGGGAATCTCTGTCTGGGCACGGGATTGGGTGCGGCGCTGACTGGCGTGATAACTAACTGATGATAGGTGAGGCATCAACCGGGAAGCTTCAGGAGATCACGGATGGCCCTGGCCAACAGCCGCCGCTTGGACAGAGACGGAATGCTGGCCAGGAAAGCCATGCGTATAGAGCAAGCACAGCAAGGGACGGCACCAACCTCACCTTAAATAACCGATATACACAGATAAAGACGCGAAATGCAGCACCCATTGCCAACTAGACTACAATCTCGCCCATCATCCGTCTATGATGAGAAACCGAAACCCATCGCGATGAGCAACCCGAATGTGACAATAGTACATGTACGTCCCGCGAACCCATTAACCAACCGTGCCCGAGATGCGCCGCTTGCTCAACCCCATGACTGACCCCCGCCTCGCCCCTCTACCAACCCCAGCGTCGAACCCCTGTTTCGCGCCTTGCCTGTGCAAACGCCTAGGATCGCGATTGCGTTGTGATGGCCCACGGAAAAGTATGGGCTGTGGATAGTTACAGCTTGTCCACCCACACTCCGTCCGTGTTGTAGTATGAGCGCGCTTATGAGCACGTAATGTTGAGCGTCGCCTTGGAGTTCATGAGCAGCGCAACAATCAAGCCGTACAGACCTAAATTGTGTTAGCGCAGTACGGCGGGATTTCAGCAGACCAAAACGTACCCAGGACTTCGGCAAAAATGAGAATCAGAATCATGCCGACGAACAGCCTTGGCTGCTGCGCCGTGCCGCGGACACCAGCATCGCCAACAATGCCAATCGCGAAACCAGCAGCCATGCCCGCGAGACCGACGGCGAGACCGGCGCCGAGCTGGATGAAGCCCGTGTAGAGCGCGTAGCCGTCTTGCGTGAGGCCGTCGGAAATCAGCACCGAGACGACGAGACCGTAGATGCCGATGATACCCGCCATAATGACGGGGACAATGTCTGGAGATGTGTCAATGAATGCCCTTTATGCTTCCGTATCGTCCGGCTCTGGTGGACGCACTCTTGACGATGAGATCAGGGCGCAGGACACCCATGGCGGCGATGCCGACACCCGACTTGGCTGTGCCGTACGAGGCGCCCAGGCAGGTGAAGACGATGGCTGCCGTGCAGCCCATGGCACCGAAAAAGGGCTGCGCAATGTCAGTACGAGAGCGTCTCTGGGTGTGCCTATGCGCCGGGATCCGATCCGATCGAATCGATGCCGGAGCCGGAACCGTCACCGCCGACAGGCAGACGGTTCGAGTGATGGGAGAGGGCACTAACCGCGTAGACGGGGCTGCGGAGGCGGCATTGTTAGCAATCCATCCATCGAACAAGTGCAGCGCATGCGCCTTGGTGATGTGCTGCTGGACAGGAGGGCTTGGGCGTTGGCTGTTGTAGGGGGGAGCTCGGCGTGTTTTGAGGGGAAGACAGGACGCCGGGCCCAACTAGCGGCTTACCAGAGGTCGGACATGGCGGCGGTTTGAGCGCGAGCTGCAGCGGCGAGCAGAGGGCTAAATAATCGATATTTCGGGGGCGATGGGGTGGGCTGCGCGATGGGAGCGGTGTGCTGGAAGACGGAGCTTCAATGTCGGGTGGATGTCGTCGATGGTTGACAGTTTGAGGTTGGCTCGGGCGAGGTGTTTCCAGGTTGCAGGTTGGTTGGTTGGCGCTGTGCCTTGGAGAGCTTTGCTCGGCGGCACCCCGGCACAGCACCTCAGCCACCGCAATTAGGTAATCCGGATGCCGGCCGAACCAAAGCCCATTCTGCCGAGGGCGACCGCCCAAAGTTTGCTGCAAGCAGGCCCCGTTTTTGCTGCCGATGGGCGAGCAATTCTTTTCCGTCGTCCCACGCGATCGCATTCTCTCACGGCATCCCATCCAACCCCAGGGCGAGCAAACGCAGTGAACCCTGGCGACAAGAAATCCCTACAAACCGTCATCCTTTCAATCACCGACCCACGCAACAATGTCTGCCGCCCAGAACGAGTCCGCCGCCTGGCCCAAGGCCGAGGACCCCGCGCTGGTCCAGGAGCTGCTCGACTGCGTCCAACAGGCCAGCCACTACCGCCAGCTCAAGAAGGGCGCTGTACGTGGCTTACAATCAATCAGTCAAGCAAGAGCATTGCTAACCAAGACCTAGAACGAGGCGACCAAGTCGATCAACCGCGGCACGAGCGAGCTGGTCATCCTCGCCGCCGACACCCAGCCGCTGAGCATTGTGCTCCACATCCCGCTCATCAGCGAGGAGAAGAACGTGCCCTACGTGGTAGGTCTTCTTCATAAAATAACAACGGACGACAAAAGCTAACGTGGTGCAGTACGTCCCCAGCAAGGTCGCCCTCGGCCGCGCCTGCGGTGTGTCGCGCGCCGTCATCGCCGTCTCCCTCACCTCGAACGAGGCCTCGGACCTCAACTCCAAGATCCGCGCCCTGCGTGATAAGGTGGAGCGCCTGGCTATGTAAGAGGCATTGGTGGAAGAGAAGTGGCATTCTGGAGGATGGATTGGATTGGTGGCCGGCAGCGCCTGGACGGTGAAACGCCTGCGCATGTCTGGTTCCGAGCTGGCTGCACAGAGCAGGATTTGGATCGTCACCAACCCGCTGTAGTCTAACAAGGGGACAAGGGGATTTAGGGAATACACTGCGTTTTCCCAGTTTCTCGATTCTCGATCCAGGGTTGGGGTTGCGGCACGCCTCGCTTTCCTCGATTTCCATTTGGCAAATCTGACTTGACGTGGGGCCTGCAGAATGACGCTGGGCCTGCGGGATGGGTCGGACCCCACATCCCCAAGACATCATCGGTGCCAGGTCGGGTCCCAAGTCGAGCGCCCGGTCGAGACGTGTGGCCGCAGAGACGTCTTATTAACCGGGTGATCTCCCAGAAACAGTACCTTTCTACTCGTTTGTTTGACCTTGTTTTACACAGAATAAACTGCTCAAACCACAAGCCATACGGATACCAGGTGCATCACCACTTCCGTTCACACTTCACAGTGACCCGGGCATGGTTTAACCCACACACACAAAACGACAAGCCATGCCGGGTCTGGCGCGCAAAGTCGTCATCTGCGCCGCCGTCGACGGGCTGGTGCTACACCCGCTCAACTCGCGCAAGGACCGGGACCAGCAGCAGCGCTCTGCCGCCCTCGCCCCAGTGCGCATCAAGTACGGCGACGCCTCCATCTCCCCTGTGCCGCGGGACGCGGCGCCCGATCTGTCGAGTCTGCCGCCGAATTCCTCGTTTGAGGCGTTTGGTATCGTCGGTACGTCTGTAGTTACTCTTATTTCCCCACCAACACAACCTCTGCTGGATACAACACAATACAAATACCTATCCATCCACGTCTGTAATAAACCGGAACTATCTGACTAAACTCTGTGTCTTCTCTCGTCATGTGGGCAGGCCTCATAACCGTCTTCCACCACAGCTACCTCATCTCCATCACCCGCCGCCAGCAGGTCGCTTCCCTCCGCGGCGGCAGCCTACCCATCTATGTCGTCACCGAGGTCGCGCTGACGCCGTGCGCGTCGCGGCACGAGGCCGCGCAGGCCGTCGCCAAGACGGCGGCTGCGCTGAGGGAAGGGAGCCTTTCATCTTCGTCGTCGTCGCCGCGGGAAGAGGAGGGGGGTGAGGTGTCGACTGCTGCTGCGAGCGGGGATGAGGGGGAGGCGCCGGGACCGTCTGAGATTGGCGGGGCGGGGGGTGGGGGGGTGAGTGCGGATGAGGGGGAGGTGATGAGTGAGGGGGAGGGGCTTCCTGCGGCGGCGGCGGTGGCGGGTGCCGGGCGGCGGAGCAGTGTTGCGCAGGATGTTATCGGGCGGAAGGGGAGCTACGGGCGGTTTGCGCAGCGCTGGTTTAGTCGGTCCGGGTGGGCGATGGATCAGAAGCGGACGATGGGGTTGAGCGCGGGCGACGGTGGTGGGGATAAGAAGGCTGAAAGTAAAGGGGCTGCCGTGCCGGCCAAGTTCAGGGACACCGCCGACGGCACCGCGGCCGCGGTCAGTCTGCTGCCGAAGCTGTTGCGGACGAGCCAGATCCTGTTTGGGACCAGCAAGACATTTTACTTCGCCTACGACCACGACATCACGCGCAGCATGGCGAACCCCAAGGTGCCTGAGACGCCGCTGGTGCCGCTGCATGAGCATGTCGAGCCGGCGTACTTTTGGAATCGCAACATCATCCAGCCGTTCATCGACGCCGGGGTAGACAGCCTGGCTCTGCCCCTGATGCAGGGCTTCGTGGGGCAGCGGACGTTTGTCGCGGATAGCCACCCCCCGCAGGATGACGGCGCGCACAAGGACTCTGTCGAGCTTAGTGACTTCGCCTCGTCCAGGGCTGCGTCCCCCTCGCCGCCGGAGAAGGCCACAGCCGAGATGCGGCCGACGGAGAAGAAGTTCGACATCACCGTCATCTCGCGACGCTCCGTCAAACGCGCCGGGCTGCGGTACCTCCGCCGCGGGATCGACGAGGACGGCAACGTCGCCAACTCGGTCGAGTCGGAGCAGATCCTCTCGCCGGCGGACGCGGCCTGGGATCCCAACGCCAAGGTGCACTCGTTTGTGCAGACGAGGGGGAGCATCCCGCTCTTCTTCACGCAGTCGCCGTACTCGCTCAAGCCGGTGCCGGTGATGCAGCATTCGCCCGACTCGAACTTTGCGGCGCTGAAGAAGCATTTCGAGGGCCTGGGCAAGCGGTACGG